ACTGAACAGAAACTGAACTGACTGCTGCAGCTGGAAGTTTCTGCAGAGACTGACACACTTCACTGAGGACACACAGACACACAGACACACACACACACACACACGCACACACACACACGCACACAAACACACACACTCTGTCATAGTAACATCAAAGTTGGTCCAAATGTACCCCTACATACCCCTTAAAAAATCTAAACATGATCGAAAACTCTTAAAACATGTCATCAAGTGTCTAACATGACCTGAAACAAAAGAAAGACAAAATAAATCATTAAACTATGTTCCTCACTATTTTTATTCTTTTAGATTTGAGAGCAGCATTCAACACAGTAGATCATGCCGTTTTAATTGAACGAATCGAATCCTGGATTGGTGTCAAGGGCACTGCACTTAGTTTGCTTTTACACCTATCTTTTAGACAAAACCTTTGTGATCACCATAGGAGACCAAGAAAGTCTAGCTGCTGTTTTTAACTGTCTCAGGGATATTAAATGTTGGATGGCCCAAAGTTTTAAAAAGTTCTGCGAAATAAAATACTAGGGGCCTGGCTGGAGAAACTCTGGGTAAAGTCTGCGCGAAAAATGCGGCTGTTTGCGTTCTCACATAGCCTAAAGAACCTCCGGGTAGACCAATCTCCTGAGTTTTTCAGGAGATTTCCGTATGTGTGAAAAGGGTTTTAGATGAGTCAAATTCAGAAATCATACTCTTCAATTATCCACACCCAAACATCAGCCAGGTCGAAAGTTCCCTAGATCCCCTCTCTGCTAACATCACACCCTCTGCAAGAAATTTAGGAGTGATTTTTGATTCAGACATCACCTTCGAACAACACATCAAGAAGGTCATCCAGTCCTGTTTCATCCACATCAGAACCATTTCAAAAATCAAATCAATTCTCCCACCTGATGACCTGGAAAAAGTTATTCCCTCACTAATCTTTTCTCGTCCGGACTATTGCAACTCCCTTCTCTCTGGTACAACTCGTGAATCACTCTCCCTTTCCAACTGGAACGCAGCAGCGAGGCTTCTTACTGGTTTTAAAAGACGACATCACATCACTCCTGTCCTCGCTTCCCTTCACTGGCTACCTGTCACTTTTAGAACTGATTTTAAGATTTTACTAATCACTTTTAAAGCTCGTCTTGGTCTTTCCCCAGTTACATTTGCGAAATGTTATCCCACTACAAACCCTCTCGTGACCTCAGATCCTCAGGCGGCGCCCTTCTCATTGTTCCAAAGTCCAGGCTCAAATCTAAAGGAGACTGAGCCTTTGCGATCAGGACCCCTCGACTTTGGAACGACCTGCCTGAGGAGATAAGGTGAGCAGATTTGGTGACATTTTTTAAATCACTTCTTAAAACTCACTTTTATAGAATTGCTTTTATGGGATTTCACCTTTTTAAAGATTTTTTATCCATTTCTTTTCTTTTTCATTCTGTTAGTGCCTATGATGTGATGTCATCTCACACTTCTTTATTTTTATTTGTATATTGTTCCCATCTTGTTGACTTTTTAAAAAACAAATTCCTTCATTGTATTGTTTTATAGCTTTAACTTTCTCTTGATACCTTTCTGTTGTATTTCTCTTATTCCTGTTATTTGCATTGATATTATTTTTGTACTCTGTGTTTGGCCCGATTGCTGATGTCTGTTCTGTTGTTGTCCCGACTTTATGTATTTGCCTTGTCTGTCAAAGCACTTTGTAAACATTTGTTTTTAAAGGTTCTATATAAATAGTTATTATTATTATTATCACACCCGAGGGGAATACAACTCTCTTCAGAAGTGACATAACAAACTTTTAGCACATCTTTACAAGCAGTATTGTATGCTGATTATGCTCTGCAGTTGGTTTCAAATGAAGTAAAAACTTCTCATATTCAAATTTGTTTTCAGTTTTATTGTGATATTATCAACTCAAAATCAGCCATTTTCTCAGAACATTTCCATAGAGAGCCACTTTGCATCAGCAGCACCATGCTCCAGTGCTCTGGGAGAGTTTATAGTCCTGACAGTTGAACACTTGATGACTGACAGCTGTCCTTCATCACAACAGAAATCCTCGTCCTCATCATCTAAAACATGACTTTGATCTGCGTCCTCATCTGGACTCTCCTCCTCTGCTGCTGCTTCACAGGTAAAGTCCAGAGAATCAAACTCCTCTCCTCTATGAACATCCGTCCCTCTGAAATGAAGCCCACTAAACCCTGATGCTGCTTTCTGTTTTTGTCTCTGTATCCTCAGAGTCCAGAGGACAGGTCACAGTGACTCAGCCTGCAGCAGTGAGCTCTGCTCTGGGAGCCTCTGTCTCCATCTCATGTAGAACCAGTCAGAATGTTTATAATAATAACTATTTAGCCTGGTACCAACAGAAAGATGGAGGAACTCCTAAACTGCTTATATACGCTGCTAGCACTCGAGAATCAGGGATTCCAGTCGTTTTTCAGGCAGTGGATCAAACTCTGCCTTCACTCTGACCATCAGTGGAGTCCAGACTGAAGATGCAGCAGTTTACTACTGTCAGAGTGGTCACTATATCAGCAGTCAGTGGGTGTTCACACAGTGAAAAAGCGTCGTACAAAAACCTCCCTCAGTCAGACTGAACAGAAACTGAACTGACTGCTGCAGCTGGAAGTTTCTGCAGAGACTGACACACTTCACTGAAGCAGCTCAGACATGATAAAGACCTTAAAAGTCAATCAGCCCTCATATTTGGTTTGGATTATAAACCTCATTGCAAATGCACTTGAACACTACACACTCTTTACAAGTAGAGGATTATGGGTAATAAGATTTTTTTTAAATCTAACATATTTTTTTATTGGTGATAACGTACAACAGACACAACACATCAATCATACAGGCGATAGATTGAAATGAGATATGGTGACTTCTGAACTTTTTTATGTTGAGGGAGGGTAATAAATGAGATTTTTAGATCTGGTGTGAGCTGCAGTTGATTCATCAAGGTCAGGAGTCAGGTGGGAAGAAAAGAGAAAACAACCTAAGAATAAATCAAAAATATATATATGTATGAAGAAAAATGATAAAACAATCAAATTAAAGGTATAGTGTTAATGTGACCATCATAGAAACAAAGAGGAAAATATTTATATCCATATATACATGCTAATAGGTATACACACATACATATACATTCATACACACTCATGCAATATTTGAGAAGAACTGAAAAGAGGGGTCTCACAGGGACATCGGGGGGTCAGGCAAGAGACCCCCTCCACCTGACCCACGGCCCCCAACAGCAGCTGACAGCCCCAGCAGGATAAAGACTGGGCGGGTTAGATTCGATTTTTTCACTTGATTGAGAAGGTTGTAGATTGCTGTTGGTTATGTTAATTTTGGATTTTTTTTAAATTGTTGATATCGGAGGAACTGGTCCCTCCCAACCCGTATTTCTGGATGAATGTATTGAATGATATAAATTGGTGGTTTTAAGGAGATGGAGGTGAGTGATTTCCTTTTGTTGCCATGATGGAAAGTGGATGGGGGTGTTGTGTAGCTGGAGGTCTGGATTGTGCCATACTGGGGTGTATCTACATGGTGCTAGTGATGACTTGGTGATATTATGGGTTATCCACCAGGCTGCCAGAGGTGAGGAGATGGTGATGGTTTTGTGGTATTCCTGTTCCTTAATTGATTGTGGTAGGAAGGAAAAGCCCCTTTTTCAAACAACGATTAACTTCAATTCATTTGTAGTTTGACTTTTATCCCCCAGTTACGGCTGCAACCTTCCTGGTGTTACAGTCTGAGTGAGTGACACGTCAGCCTCACACAAGTTGATGATTTTTCAGTGAAATTCATTGTCCTGGTCTTTTCTCATTCTTGTCCTGCCTTGGTCTAGATCTTATCTCGGTCTCTGAGCACTCTGGTCTCGACTAGTCATGCTGGCTATCATGAGTTTTTTGTTCATTATTACCGACTATTATAGAGAGACTAGAGCACAAAACAAGTGTATTGTCATTTGGGAATTCATATAAATTAAGTTATATCGTTTGAAGTTCTGTGATCACTGATGACGCTCATCAAACATATTGAGGAGCTCAGTCTGAGTTTAAAAACAGTGTTTATGTCTCATCATGATGTGTTTTTACTCGTCCTTTGTGAAGTTATCATGGAGAAACTGCATTTCTTAATGTAGTCACTGGCTCCATTATTATGAGGTATCTTAAGACAGATTGTGATAAAAGAAAATAAAAGTCAAAAGTCAATTTAAAAAAAAAAGAAAAAAGACAAAAAGTGTATTTCTCATTGATTTAATGAACAGATTTTTATTATCAGGAAACAATACACACACATATGAAGCAAGAAGCTAATATTTATTCTTTAGAAACATGAAATAAAGACAGAGAGAGAGAGGTGCAGAGTGAGAGCAGTATCACAGTAAAACCAGCAGCAGAGTCCCAGTGAGGCATTACTGGGAACACTGGTCTCTACTCAGACTCTCTGAGACTGGAGCCTGGGCGCCCTGGGTGGCCTCACAGGTCACTGAGCCCACCTTCCTCCACTGCTCTGCAGAGAGCCTCAGGGTGCTGCTCCAGCTGTAGAGAGCGTCCTTCTCCAGCACTGCAGGGCTCCTGCTCTCCTCCCAGCTGCTGCTGCTGCTGCCGTCCACCTTCCAGGCCAGACTCCAGCCTGAGGGGAAGCCCTTGTTGGCCAGGCACATGAGCGTGGCCTTCCCCTGCTCCAGCTCCTCATTGGAGGGGGGCAGCACCGTCAGGGTGGGACGCACATCACCTATAGGAGACACCAATCAGATTAGAGGACAGGGAGCACACAACTGTCAATCAAACACCACACCCTGTAGAACACTTTTAATGTCTGAGAGTTGATTTTCTTTTTTAAGGAGTCTCTGTCAGATGAAAAACCTCTCTTTGTTAAATATCAACCTGTTTATGTTTCAGTGTGACAGAAATCAAACTGTCCTGAGTGAACCTTCAAGGTAAAGCAGGACCGATAAAAACACGATAAGAGTTCATTAAAGTTAAAGTTTAACGTAGAATACAGAATAAATCTACTTTGTAGTTTTGTCAGTGTTTGAATTGCAGTAGCACTGGTTGATCAGGAAGGTCCAGTTCGCTCCGGAGACACCAGGTCCTCAGCCGATGGTGGAGACGAGCCGCAGCTTCCTGATGTCGGACAGATCTCTGCACCTGGAGGCCTCTCTGGATAAAGAGGTAACACACACACACACACACACACACACACACACACACACACACACACACACACACTGTAACACACACTCTTTACTGTTCTGTTAGATGACAGCTGAGTGTGTGTGTGTGTGCAGCTGTATTATCATGGAGAGCCGATCAGCGTGAATGTGCAGGTGACCAACAGCTCGTCTAAGACGGTGAAGAGGGTGAAGATCTCAGGTGATACAGCAGCTGATCATTATTCAATCTCTCATCTATCATCAAGTACTGACACTACACCTGTGTGTGTGTGTGTGTGTGTGTGTGTGTGTGTGTGTGTGTGTGTGTGTGTGTGTGTCAGTGCGTCAGTTTGCAGATATCTGTCTGTTCTCCACGGCTCAGTATAAATGTGCGGTGGCTCAGGTTGAAGCAGAGTGAGTATCAAAACATTACACTTGTTTCTCTGAAGGTTTGTGTGTTCATTATGAGAATGATGATGTGTGTGTGTGTGTGTGTGTGTGTGTGTGTGTGTGTGTGTGTGTGTGTGTGTGTGTGTGTGTGTGTGTGTGTAGAGGGGAGGGCCTCTCCAGCTCCTCCCTCTTGTCCATATATGGTAACATCAGCTGGACGGTAGAAAGAATGCAGCTTTGAGGCGTCACTAACTTCTTATAGAGGGTCGATGGTTTGAACCCGGTTTGAAGAACTCCGTCTGATTGAATCCGTTTCTAAAGAGACATTATCTTTACATCTATGTGAATCTTTTATTAAGGTTATATCAGCACTTCAGTCACTTCTATCAATCTGTTGAACTTACAAACATTTCAAACATGACGTACCGCCCCTCAGGAGTAGGGGCGTGGCCAGAGGGGTGGCGGGCCCCAAAGTCCTAAACAATGATTGGCTGTGACTCCAGTTCAAATCTAATAAAAGCTCAGAAGATTAACATGATTCCATATGATAAGTGGAGATAGAAAGGGTTAATAAATTAGTTAATAAACCAGTTCAACAAAGTCTGGACACGCCCCCTCTCAGCAGCAGCTTTCACACCTCACATGTTTTCTAAGAAGGGAACCTCGTGTTCATAGTCATGCAAACAGTGAGTATGTAGCGACTGAAAGAACTGATCGCTCATTCTCCCCCCCAGACACCAGGTGTGTCCCAGCTCCACCTCCTGTCAGGTGTACACTCTGACCCCGAGTCTAGGCACCAACAGGGAGAAGAGAGGCCTCGCTTTGGACGGAAAGTTAAAGTACGAAGACACCAACCTGGCCTCCAGCACCATGTACACACACACACACACACACACACACACACACACACACACACACACACACACACACACATATCTCTACCTGTGAGTCAGTGTTTCTGTCTTACCTGTGTCCTGTGTTTGTGCTGCAGAGTCAAAGAAGGAGCCAACAAAGAGGCGATGGGCATCCTGGTGTCTTACAGAGTCAAAGTCAAACTGGTGGTGTCTCTGGGAGGGTAGGTTCACAAACTGCAGCTTTCTCAACATGAACAGTAGTCTAACAACTGTGAGTGCTGTCTGGTGGGGCCACCTTTGGGAGGTTTCCTACTGTCATTGCAAACTTTGCTCATTTTGACCACAGTCTCTGTACATGGGCACATGAACTAACCGCTAGCCCACTGGTGCCCCATCTGTTTGTTTTTTTTTAAATAGTCAATAGCGAAATTTAATTAAATCTAAAGATTGTCATTTTTTAACCAAAAGCAATCACAAGAGAGAGCATCTGTGGTCTCTTCATTTTCACAGGTCTGAAAATCCTCAAGTTTTAAAGTTCATCTGGTGTTTATGTCTCTTACAGACAGAGAGCAGATGAGGTGCCATCATCTTCACTGCACAAATACATAGGCAATGTTTCAGAACCTGACTTTATCAATATGTGTAATTTAGACACGATGCACGGCTGAGTTTGATGCAAATTTCAGGTTTGGGTTTAAGTCATTGTGAAAATATAAATGTATGGCAATAAATACGAAGAAAGAATTGATGTAAACAGGCGATGCTTTTCTCAGCAGTTTCCGTACCAGACTGTGACACTGCTGGTCAGGATGCTCTCGATCACACAATGGTAGAAGTTCATCAGTACAGCTGAAGACAGGTGGTGTCTCTTCAGTGTCCTCAGGAAAAAGATGCGTTGATGAGCCTTCTTAACCAGACTGGAGGTGTTAGTGGACCAGGAGAGGTCCTCTGTGATGTGAGTCCCCAGGAACTTGAAGCTGGAGACACGTTCAATAGCCATCCCGTTGATGTGAATGGGGTTGTGTGTGCTTCCTCTTTCTCTCCTGAAGTCCACGATGAGCTCCTTCGTCTTGCTGGTGTTGAGGAGCAGGTTGTTGTCAGCACACCAGATGCTGTACCTCCTCCCTGTAGGCTGTGTCATCGTTGTTGCTGATGAGGCCAATCACCGCCGTATCGTCCGCAAACTTGATGATGGTGTTGGATTCATGTACAGGTCTGCAGTCGTGGGTGAAGAGGGAGTAGAGGAATGGGCTCAGCACACAGCCCTGTGGTACGCTTGTGTTGAGTGTGATGGTGGTGGAGCAGGTGTGTCCTGTACATGAAGGGAAAATCTCCAAACGACCTGTTTGAGCACACATTTTCTGAAAAGTGGAGCAGGCGAAAGACTGAGAGGATGGACTTTTCTCATCATTGGGGGGGTTTGTAGACAGACTAGAGACACATCTTAGAGTTAGAGGAACATGGAGAAGTGGATTCTGTATAATATGTGCTCATGGTCTCGGTCAGTCTGCTCGGTGTGATTAACTGAATGTTTCTCTGCAGGGCGCTGTCAGACACGAGGCAGATAGGCAAGCTGACCAGAGAGCAGTTTGCCCTCGCCATGTATCTCATCCAGCAGAAAGTCAGCAACCCTTTCTGCTGACATGTTTCCCCCCTCAGAGAGAGGCACACCTGTACCAGTAGGTCCCCCCCCCCACACACACACACACACACACACACACAGCAGATGTTTACTATAACAGAGTGATTTAATTACATCTGGGTCTCAGGGGGTGCTGAGGGTGGTCCATTAATCCTCTAGTGGAGGATTTAATCCTTTTAGCTTTTCTTGTCAACATGTTGAAGTCACTTGACCATAAACTTCTCACGATAAGGACCTTGAAACTGAAGAGGTGGCTCAGAAAACTCTGAAAGCATCACAGACAGTGGGACTCGGGTGTTACAGTCATTGTAGACAGTCATGACTCACAGAGTTATTTTCAGAGGATATACTTGATTTCTACATGTAAGTGTGAAAAATCACATATAAAGCCTTTAAGTATCTTCAATTTAGAAGCTTTATTAGAACAAAACAATATAATGTGCTTACCAAACCCCTTGAAATCAAACTTGGAGAAAATAATGTCTAAAGACAGTTTAAGCAAAGGTGCAATATCAGAACTTTATAACCTGCTAATGTCCAGCTCAACAGAGAATTCTGATTACAAGTGGAAAGCCTGGAGGAAGGACCCAGAGCCGGCCCTAACCATTTTGGTGCCCTAGGCAAGATTTTAGCAGTTGCCCCTTAAATTGCAGACAGTTTGACCACTAATATATTATATTCATCCACTTAAAGAAAACTGGCATACAGTTTCATATTTAACATCATTCATTTATTTTAAAATAAAAAATACTTATAAATAAACATGAATAAAATGGTTATAACTCTAATATTTCTTGTAAATAAATACAAATAACTAGTGTAATAGAACAAACAATATCAAACAGTGCAGGAAGCAGAAGTGTTCACATGGCTGTGAACTGCTCAGAGATGCGCTTGAACGGCTCCTGGATGGCTGTGTTGTTGCCGATCAATGTCGCAGCCATCTTGAGGCCACGAGGAGGGATGTCACAGACAGAGGTCATCACATTATCAGGGATCCATTCAACAAAGTGGCTGCTGTTTTTGTTTCTTAAGCTAAGCATGTGTTCGTCCACCTTTTTCATGGACATGCGGCCACGGAAGATAGCAGCTGCTGTCAGGTAGCGGCCGTGACGTGGGTCGCAGGCAGCCATCATGTTCTTTGCGTCGAACATCTGCTGGGTGAGCTCTGGTACAGTGAGGGCCCTGTACTGCTGGCCGCCTCGGCTTGTGAGGGGAGCGAAGCCTGGAATGAAAAAATGCAGACGAGGGAATGGCACCATGTTTACAGCCAGCTTCCTCAGGTCAGCATTGAGCTGTCCGGGGAACATGAGGCAGGTGGTAAAGCCGCTCAGGCCAAGACGAGTGAAAACACTCACTTCCTATATTTCGCATTGCGGGCGCGATTACTTCCACCGAATAAGATTTAAATAATGATTTTAACCACTCAACGGTCAATCCTATCCGCGGTGGTTAACTGATATCTAACGGTTGAGTTCTTCAAACAAACCGGCGTACAAATCATTAACACAATTTATCGGATTTGTAAATTAGGTAAAATCGATTTATATTCGTTACAATTCGACGCATCACAACCCATAAGGGCAGCTCTTGAGATTTAAGGTTTGAATTACACGTTCACAAAAGCACAGAGGACGCGGCGTATCTTTTCTAAAATACATCGATTTCAACCGCACAAAACACATAAAAAGCTGTCCTAAACTTGGTACCAATCTAGTTTCCGCATTGACCGACCTGGAGAAGCACAATTTCCCTCATTTTTTTTTTGTTTGTTTTGTGTCTGTTAGCGCGCACCAACGGCACAACCATCTGTTTTATACTACAGCTGAGCCCCGCCCTCTACCCCTCAGCTCGAACGTTGGTTGGCTCATTTCTTTACGCTTGATGTACACGAACAGATTTAGACCAATGAAATCGTCCCTGTCTTCTCCACTATCGGTCCAGTGTGTCTGTCAATCACATTCGTGTCAAACGTATGACTACCGTTAATCTGTCGATGTTGGCCATGACCTTGGCCTACGTCCCTCATGATGGCGGAAAAGATATGCGACACCGACAACAGATTTAATTCATTTCACAAGCGTGTTAAAAGAAAATGAAACTCATTGATCAGCTAATCTTAATAAACAATTTTGACTGTATCTAGTTATAAAATGTTGAGTGAATTTTAAATATTTAAAACAAAAATACACTGTTGGTCTACTAGATATTAAAAAATATTTAACAGCTAAAAAGAACAGAACCATTTATGAAATAAAAAATGTACATCTATAGTGAAAATATATCTTTGTATCTTAAACTGCATTCATTAATTTTTCACTTTGACTTGACTGTGATAACTTTTTTTGATTCATGACGATTTTATAGTTTTTATGTATCCTACTTATAACTTGGGTTTTAATTAAGTGCTATAATATATATACATCACATACATAGCATGGTTTGGGTGAAAAGTTTGCAAGACTCAGTCCAGACTGTTGCAGTACATTTAGGGGACAAAGAAGACGGTTTCTTTCAAATGAAGCCAGTAAACGAGGCAGACTGAGCTGTCCATCCTGGCCTTTACACGAGGCTCTGACTGAAAACACTACAGCCAAGCATAGCATAGCAAAACATAGCAGCCAAAACATTGAATGAACCATTTATATCCAGAATCTCCATCATGATCTTACTATTTTTCATTTAAGTCACATTATAACAGATTTTAAATGTTTGTTTACTTCTGTATTTCTGGCAAAACACCAGCCATGCAACTACACCTTATCTACAGTGTAGTGCATCTACTCTAATAAATACTTTGACGTCATAGTTATATCTCATTAATTTGAAAGTAACCTGTGAATACTATTAAACACATTAAGACTTCAAAAATGCATGAAAAACTTTAATTAAAAACAAGAATTAACAAACAGAACACTGAAAAACACTTAACATTACATTTAATGGCAGATTTTCCAGCAAAGCTTTAGGCAAGCTCCTCCTCGACGGTGGCGTCCTGGTACTGCTGGTACTCGGACACCAGGTCGTTCATCTTGCTCTCAGCAACATGAAATCAACGAAGTGGCTGCTGTTTTTGTTCTGCATTTTCAGCATCTGTTCGTCCACCTCCTTGATGGACATGCGGCCACGGAAGATAGCAGCCACTGTCAGGTAGCGGCCGTGACGTGGGTCGCAGGCAGCCATCATGTTCTCTCCGTCAAACATCTGCCGGGTGAGCTCTGGTCCAGTGAGGGCGCTGTACTGCGGGCTGACTCGGCTTGTGAGGGGAGCGAAGCCTGGAATGAAAAAATGCATACGAGGGAATGGCACCATGTTTACAGCCAGCGGGAGGGTTATGTTTGTGTTAAATACTGACGGATAATTACTACACAAAGTTTGTTTTTTAATGTCGACATTTACGTGGAGTATAACATTCATCATAACGTCAGCTAACCATATTTACAGTCTGCGGTTAACCACCGAGGTGAACCTTTAGCTTCTAACATCACACAAACTAATTCTTTTCAACATCTTAACAAACATTTCTAACAATTCAGAATACATTTTTCCCCAGTTTAATAGTGCTGGCTAGATATGTTAACATTAGCATCTTTAGCATGAATGGGAGTCTTGATCGGCTAAACCATTGACCGTAAATAATGGGCTACACTGAGTACAGTTAGCCGACTGGTTTACAAGCTAACGCCAAACAAGCTAGGTCTGTAAATATAAATACCGTCACATGAGCATGCAGTAAATATAACACTACTATTTTACTTTCCGAAAAAAATTGAAGCATCAACTTCTTGGATGGTCTGTTAACCGCACAGCAAGCCATGTATGTTGTCAGATATGTGTTAAGCAAACTCTCCAAATGAAGTAAAAAAGAGGAGAAATCAGACGGATCAAGCTGCTACCTAGCCTCCTGACCTGACAGACAGATGCAGCGCGCAGAGCTGTCAATCAAATCTGCCACAACCCTTATATGTACATAGTCGTTTTCCTTAATAGAGTGAAATCCGATGAGTTATATAAAACTTATCGCACGTCCGGTGCTTCTGCAGCCAGCCTCAAGCGGAACTTCGAGGAACTGCAGTTTTTTTTACTTCCGCATTGGCTTCATTTTTCGAGACCAGAGGTTGCCCCTTGCTTTTTTTGCCCATTTAATTAGTGGTTAAAAAATGATTTATACATGTAAAAAGTAACATATAGAACCATCAGAAGCGTAGCACTTACCAACATTTAGCAAAAGTTACAGAGTCAAGAAAAAATCATAATAATATAATTTACCTCTGACAATTTCACTTTTAAAACCGTAATGTTAGACAAATAACTAGATAGATAGAGATAGCCATTAACTATTTATCCTTCTCTATCTAAGCTTATAGATAGCTATCTAGTTATTGTAAATACCGTATTAGTCTGAATATAAGACGGCCTTTTTCCCCATCGAAATAGGTCCGAAAAAGTTGGGTCGTCTTATATTCGGGGTCTAGTATTCAGAGCGCAGCTTTAATTGTTCGCCTGTCCCTTTAAAGGTCAATAAGTAAAATAAAGTAAAATAAACAAATAAAGACGCACTTAAATAGTGAAATCATTATTCAAATAGAGGGGGAAAGGTTTTATAATAATGCAAACATTTGTTATAGTTTCTGTTGTTAATTTAAAGTAGTGATTTTAGTCGGGACTTTAACTCTAGATTAAAAATTGTTTCTTTTGATTTGGAAGCGCACGTGACATGCCGATTTACGTTTAATTTCGCACAGCATTGTGGGTGGTAAAATACAATTCATTTCCTGAAAGCACGCATCCAATCCATACTTCATGAAACCCGGAAGTTATTATCCATACTGAAATGTTCAGTATACTGAGGTGGACCCAAAATATGCATACTGAATGGACCACGAAGGTTCAGTATACTGAAACTCCATACTGAATAGTACGTACTGCCTACTGAACTGTGACAATTCGGAAAGGGCCCGTGAGAGCGAACACAGCGGGGCGGAGGACGTGTGTGAGGAATAGGAGACATCGGAGAAGTTTGGCGAGCTTTAGTTTAGTTTAGTTAAAGATGTGGCCTGTATTTTCTCTGTTATTTAAAAATGTTGATAATATTGCTTGATTTTAATTTTGAATCATACTGTACATGTTTTGACCTTGTGAAAAACTTTGTTTTTAAAAGTGCTGTAGCATATAACGATAAATAGGCCTATGTTTATTATTGTTATCATTATTACAACAACAGGTGTTTAATTCAATGTATTTTTAATATTGGGGAGTGATGAGAGCGAGAGTGAACACAGCGGGGCAGAGTGTGTGTGAGAAATAGAGAGGAGACATCGGAGGAGAGGTTTGGCGAGTTTTAGTTTAGTGGTAGTTTAGTTAAAAATGTTGCCTGTGTTTCCTCTGTTATTTCAAAATGTTAAAAACATGTTGATAATATTGCTTGATTGTTTAATTGATTTTAACTTTGAATCATACTGTACATAGTTCGCCCTTGTGAAACACTTTGTTTTGAAAAGTGCCGTAGGCCTATACCGATAAATACGGTATGTTAATTATTATTATGATTATTAATACAACAGGTGTTTAATTCAATGTGTTTTTAATATTGTTATTTTCAAATAAAATGAAGTGCTTCAAAAAAAAGTTCTTTATAAAAACAAGATCTGGTCTGCAAATCTTTATTTCTAAATGTGAGTGTTGAAAAACGGGGGTCGTCTTATATTCGGACCAATACGGTATAACAATTGTCCTTCTCTGTCATTCCAATAGGCTCATCACCGTATAGTAGAGGAACTTGGGCCCCTAAAAGTTCAGATACCCCTACCCGAGGTAAAACAAAGCATAACCATATTTTTTCATAACTTGAACATGTCTAGTTTATGAAACGGATAGTTGTATAAAAATCTTTTACTGCAAAATAACTTTTTTTGGATGTTTTATGCATCTTACCAAAAACAAAAATAGGTCAAATTAGGGCTTCTCCAAAAGGGACAGCTCTAGTCTTATCACATGTATCTCTGGGAATCAGAATCAGAATTTCACCAAATTTGGACAGGATGTTCACAGATAGTTATTAGTTACAATTATGCAAAGTTTTTATCAATACCATTTTCAATTTTTGAATTTTTCACACGTAAACACACGTAGTTTAGGCGGAAATTGAAAATTGAAACAAAAATTCAAAAGGTATGTATATCAAAGTCTGTCATTTTTTAAGTAAGGACACCAAACATTAAAATATGTCATTTATATCTTCTTTAGACTGTTATCTCAACATAAAAGCAAGTTATTTGACTTTTCACTTGACCCTATGCTGTCACCAGCCCCTAGCAGGAAACTAATGCAGCCAGGATTTCAGGGTGACCTGGTACAATGGGGCCCTATGGATGTGTATGTGTAGCTGTAACAGATTGAGCTGTTCATTGTTATAATATAGTCAAAGTTACTAGTTTGAGATCTGAGAAGAAAGATGTTTTAGTTTTATTTGGGCTGTTTGTTAATGTCACCTTACTTTCTTTATCATCTGTTTGCAGTTCAATCACAGGATGAAGCACAGAGCAGTGAATCTAAGGAGATGCAGCTGCAGCATCTTTGATGACTGTAACGGGTTAAGACAACCTCAGGAAATATTTGATGTACATTACCTGGTTTGATGTTTTAATAAATGGTGTTTTGGATTGATATGAAAATGACTTGGTTCATGTGTCTCTCTCTGCCCTCTGGCCTAACGTGATCTTCTATCACTGCGGTGAACATTTTGCAAGGGAGCACCAAAAAGTACCTTGTTCACATGCAGGGGTGTGTCCAGAGGGGCGGCCTGGGCCCCCCTTTGACATCTGATCTGCCAACCCAGAATCCAGCCTAACTGGCTGTTAGTCTAGACAGAGGCGGGACTTCAGATGAAATCATCAACTCTGGCTGTTTTCAACAGGCTGCTGATAGTTTTCTTTAGAAGTTAATTTTGTTTCTGTGCTTTCTGTTGTAAATGAATATTTTTCCCTTCACATGCAAATTTCCAAGGAAAAATGTGTGTACGCGGTTTAACTTGTGACAGACTTAATCACTAATAAATGTATTTCTGCAAGTTAGACAGCTCACAAGAGTTTGAGTTCAAAGTACTGTAAATTATTATAAATTATGTCGAGTCCCTAAAGCATCCAGCTTAGACATGTTGCCAAATTGTTATTAGTAATCAGTATGTTACCTTCAAACTATCAGTAGAATTCAAACGCCAAACACTGCATGTGATATCTGATGAACACTTTCCTTTCAGCTTGTAATTTAATCATTTTAATTCATTTTAATTAATTTTTAGTGTAATTATGTATATATGTGCTCTTTGTCTAAATTTCAGCAGCACCTTTATCTACAATGAATTAAAATAAGAACAAAACATTGAATGAACCATTTATATCCAGAATCTCCATCATGATCTTACTCATTTTCATTTAAGTCACATTATAACAGATTTTAAATGTTTGTTTACTTCTGTATTTCTGGCAAAACACCAGCCATGCAACTACACCTTATCTACAGTGTAGTGCATCTACTCTAATAAATACTTTGACGTCATAGTTATATCTTATTAATTTGAAAGTAACCTGTGAATACTATTAAACACATTAAGACTTCAAAAAGGCATGAAAATCTTTAATTAAAAACAAGAATTAACAAACGGAACACTGAAAAACACTTAACATTATATTTAATGGCAGATTTGCCAGCAAAGCTTTAGGCAAGCTCCTCCTCCTCCTCCTCAAACTCTCCCTCCTCCTCGACGGTGGCGTCCTGGTACTGCTGGTACTCGGACACCAGGTCGTTCATGTTGCTCTCAGCCTCGGTGAACTCCATCTCTTCCATACCCTCGCCGATGTACCAATGGAGGAAAGCTCTGCGCCTGAACATGGCTGTGAACTGCTCAGAGATGCGCTTGAACGGCTCCTGGATGGCTGTGTTGTTGCCGATCAATGTCGCAGCCATCTTGAGGCCACGAGGAGGGATGTCACAGACAGAGGTCATCACATTATCAGGGATCCATTCAACAAAGTGGCTGCTGTTTTTGTTTCTTAAGCTAAGCATGTGTTCGTCCACCTTTTTCATGGACATGCGGCCACGGAAGATAGCAGCTGCTGTCAGGTAGCGGCCGTGACGTGGGTCGCAGGCAGCCATCATGTTCTTTGCGTCGAACATCTGCTGGGTGAGCTCTGGTACAGTGAGGGCCCTGTACTGCTGGCCGCCTCGGCTTGTGAGGGGAGCGAAGCCTGGAATGAAAAAATGCAGACGAGGGAATGGCACCATGTTTACAGCCAGCTTCCTCAGGTCAGCATTGAGCTGTCCGGGGAACATGAGGCAGGTGGTAAAGCCGCTCAGGCCAAGACGAGTGAAAACACTCACTTCCTATATTTCGCATTGCGGGCGCGATTACTTCCACCGAATAAGATTTAAATAATGATTTTAACCACTCAACGGTCAATCCTATCCGCGGTGGTTAACTGATATCTAACGGTTGAGTTCTTCAAACAAACCGGCGTACAAATCATTAACACAATTTATCGGATTTGTAAATTAGGTAAAATCGATTTATATTCGTTACAATTCGACGCATCACAACCCATAAGGGCAGCTCTTGAGATTTAAGGTTTGAATTACACGTTCACAAAAGCACAGAGGACGCGGCGTATCTTTTCTAAAATACATCGATTTCAACCGCACAAAACACATAAAAAGCTGTACTAAACTTGGTACCAATCTAGTTTCCGCATTGACCGACCTGGAGAAGCACAATTTCCCTCATTTTGTTTTTCTTTAGTGGACTCTGACCGCTTCGATGAATGACTTAAAGTGTCTGTTAGCATGTACCAACGGCACAACCATCTGTTTTATACTACAGCTGAGCCCCGCCCTCTACCCCTCAGCTCGAACGTTGGTTGGCTCATTTCTTTACGCTTGATGTACACGAACAGATTTAGACCAATGAAATCGTCCCTGTCTTCTCCACTATCGGTCCAGTGTGTCTGTCAATCACATTCGTGTCAAACGTATGACTACCGTTAATCTGTCGACGTTGGCCATGACCTTGGCCTACGTCCCTCATGATGGCGGAAAAGATATGCGACACCGACAACAGATTTAATTCATTTCACAAGCGTGTTAAAAGAAAATGAAACTCATTGATCAGCTAATCTTAATAAACAATTTTGACTGTATCTAGTTATAAAATGTTGAGTGAATTTTAAATATTTAAAACAAAAATACACTGTTGGTCTACTAGATATTAAAAAATATTTAACAGCTAAAAAGAACAGAACCATTTATGAAATAAAAAATGTACATCTATAGTGAAAATATATCTTTGTATCTTAAACTGCATTCATTAATTTTTCACTTTGACTTGACTGTGATAACTTTTTTTGATTCATGACGATTTTATAGTTTTTATGTATCCTACTTATAACTTGGGTTTTAATTAAGTGCTATAATATATATACATCACATACATAGCATGGTTTGGGTGAAAAGTTTGCAAGACTCAGTCCAGACTGTTGCAGTACATTTAGGGGACAAAGAAGACGGTTTCTTTCAAATGAAGCCAGTAAACGAGGCAGACTGAGCTGTCCATCCTGGCCTTTACACGAGGCTCTGACTGAAAACACTACAGCCAAGCATAGCATAGCAAAACATAGCAGCCAAAACATTGAATGAACCATTTATATCCAGAATCTCCATCATGATCTTACTATTTTTCATTTAAGTCACATTATAACAGATTTTAAATGTTTGTTTACTTCTGTATTTCTGGCAAAACACCAGCCATGCAACTACACCTTATCTACAGTGTAGTGCATCTACTCTAATAAATACTTTGACGTCATAGTTATATCTCATTAATTTGAAAGTAACCTGTGAATACTATTAAACACATTAAGACTTCAAAAATGCATGAAAAACTTTAATTAAAAACAAGAATTAACAAACAGAACACTGAAAAACACTTAACATTACATTTAATGGCAGATTTTCCAGCAAAGCTTTAGGCAAGCTCCTCCTCGACGGTGGCGTCCTGGTACTGCTGGTACTCGGACACCAGGTCGTTCATCTTGCTCTCAGCAACATGAAATCAACGAAGTGGCTGCTGTTTTTGTTCTGCATTTTCAGCATCTGTTCGTCCACCTCCTTGATGGACATGCGGCCACGGAAGATAGCAGCCACTGTCAGGTAGCGGCCGTGACGTGGGTCGCAGGCAGCCATCATGTTCTCTCCGTCAAACATCTGCCGGGTGAGCTCTGGTCCAGTGAGGGCGCTGTACTGCGGGCTGACTCGGCTTGTGAGGGGAGCGAAGCCTGGAATGAAAAAATGCATACGAGGGAATGGCACCATGTTTACAGCCAGCGGGAGGGTTATGTTTGTGTTAAATACTGACGGATAATTACTACACAAAGTTTGTTTTTTAATGTCGACATTTACGTGGAGTATAACATTCATCATAACGTCAGCTAACCATATTTACAGTCTGCGGTTAACCACCGAGGTGAACCTTTAGCTTCTAACATCACACAAACTAATTCTTTTCAACATCTTAACAAACATTTCTAACAATTCAGAATACATTTTTCCCCAGTTTAATAGTGCTGGCTAGATATGTTAACATTAGCATCTTTAGCATGAATGGGAGTCTTGATCGGCTAAACCATTGACTGTAAATAATGGGCTACACTGAGTACAGTTAGCCGACTGGTTTACAAGCTAACGCCAAACAAGCTAGGTCTGTAAATATAAATACCGTCACATGAGCATGCAGTAAATATAACACTACTATTTTACTTTCCGAAAAAAATTGAAGCATCAACTTCTTGGATGGTCTGTTAACCGCACAGCAAGCCATGTATGTTGTCAGATATGTGTTAAGCAAACTCTCCAAATGAAGTAAAAAAGAGGAGAAATCAGACGGATCAAGCTGCTACCTAGCCTCCTGACCTGACAGACAGATGCAGCGCGCAGAGCTGTCAATCAAATCTGCCACAACCCTTATATGTACATAGTCGTTTTCCTTAATAGAGTGAAATCCGATGAGTTATATAAAACTTATCGCACGTCCGGTGCTTCTGCAGCCAGCCTCAAGCGGAACTTCGAGGAACTGCAGTTTTTTTTACTTCCGCATTGGCTTCAGTTTTCGAGACCAGAGGTTGCCCCTTGCTTTTTTTGCCCATTTAATTAGTGGTTAAAAAATGATTTATACATGTAAAAAGTAACATATAGAACCATCAGAAGCGTAGCACTTACCAACATTTAGCAAAAGTTACAGAGTCAAGAAAAAATCATAATAATATAATTTACCTCTGACAATTTCACTTTTAAAACCGTAATGTTAGACAAATAACTAGATAGATAGAGATAGCCATTAACTATTTATCCTTCTCTATCTAAGCTTATAGATAGCTATCTAGTTATTGTAAATACCGTATTAGTCTGAATATAAGACGGCCTTTTTCCCCATCGAAATAGGTCCGAAAAAGTTGGGTCGTCTTATATTCGGGGTCTAGTATTCAGAGCGCAGCTTTAATTGTTCGCCTGTCCCTTTAAAGGTCAATAAGTAAAATAAAGTAAAATAAACAAATAAAGACGCACTTAAATAGTGAAATCATTATTCAAATAGAGGGGGAAAGGTTTTATAATAATGCAAACATTTGTTATAGTTTCTGTTGTTAATTTAAAGTAGTGATTTTAGTCGGGACTTTAACTCTAGATTAAAAATTGTTTCTTTTGATTTGGAAGCGCACGTGACATGCCGATTTACGTTTAATTTCGCACAGCATTGTGGGTGGTAAAATACAATTCATTTCCTGAAAGCACGCATCCAATCCATACTTCATGAAACCCGGAAGTTAGTATCCATACTGAAATGTTCAGTATACTGAGGTGGACCCAAAATATGCATACTGAATGACCACGAAGGTTCAGTATACTGAAACTCCATACTGAATAGTACGTACTGCATACTGAACTGTGACAATTCGGAAATGGCCCGTGAGAGCGAACACAGCGGGGCGGAGGACGTGTGTGAGGAATAGGAGACATCGGAGAAGTTTGGCGAGCTTTAGTTTAGTTTAGTTAAAGATGTGGCCTGTATTTTCTCTGTTATTTAAAAATGTTGATAATATTGCTTGATTTTAATTTTGAATCATACTGTACATGTTTTGACCTTGTGAAAAACTTTGTTTTTAAAAGTGCTGTAGCATATAACGATAAATAGGCCTATGTTTATTATTGTTATCATTATTACAACAACAGGTGTTTAATTCAATGTATTTTTAATATTGGGGAGTGATGAGAGCGAGAGTGAACACAGCGGGGCAGAGTGTGTGTGTGTGTGTGTGTGTGTGTGTGTGTGTGTGTGAGAAATAGAGAGGAGACATCGGAGGAGAGGTTTGGCGAGTTTTAGTTTAGTGGTAGTTTAGTTAAAAATGTTGCCTGTGTTTCCTCTGTTATTTCAAAATGTTAAAAACATGTTGATAATATTGCTTGATTGTTTAATTGATTTTAACTTTGAATCATACTGTACATAGTTCGCCCTTGTGAAACACTTTGTTTTGAAAAGTGCCGTAGGCCTATACCGATAAATACGGTATGTTAATTATTATTATGATTATTAATACAACAGGTGTTTAATTCAATGTGTCACCTGTCTCTGTTCAAACTTTTCTTGTTTGTCAGCTTTACTATGCAGCTGCTTCTCTTTTATTTCGAGATGACTACATTCTGTTTTCAAATCCTCCAAATTTGACTTTTGTTCCTCCCTTCCTCTGTACAGTTTTTTCTGAGAGATTTCCTCAAGTCGCTCTTGAGTACCAGTACAATATGAGGAATGCTCTACCCCAGGAGGAGGGTAAGGTTTTCCTGCAGGTCTTTCTCTTCCCCTAATGGGCGGGAGGCAGGGTTTTTGCCGAAGGTCAAGGTTTTCCTCCCATGTTAATTGCAGCTTGTTCTGTTCTTGCTTCTGTTTGATGGAGCGGGTTTTCTCAGTCCCAAATCTCGGCAGGGGTTCTCCGGTATCAGCGGAACAATATGAGGAATGCTCTACCCCAGAAGGAGTGGAAGGTTTTCCTGCAGGCCTTTCTCTACTCTTCATGGGCGGGGGGCAGGGTTGTTTTGAAAAGTGCCGTAGGCCTATACCGATAAATACGGTATGTTAATTATTATTATGATTATTAATACAACAGGTGTTTAATTCAATGTGTTTTTAATATTGTTATTTTCAAATAAAATGAAGTTCTTCAAAAAAAAGTTCTTTATAAAAACAAGATCTGGTCTGCAAATCTTTATTTCTAAATGTGAGTGTTGAAAAACGGGGGTCGTCTTATATTCGGACCAATACGGTATAACAATTGTCCTTCTCTGTCATTCCAATAGGCTCATCACCGTATAGTAGAGGAACTTGGGCCCCTAAAAGTTCAGATACCCCTACCCGAGGTAAAACAAAGCACAACCATATTTTTTCATAACTTGAACATGTCTAGTTTATGAAACGGATACTTGTATAAAAATCTTTTACTGCAAAATAACTTTTTTTGGATGTTTTATGCATCTTACCAAAAACAAAAATAGGTCAAATTAGGGCTTCTCCAAAAGGGACAGCTCTAGCCTTATCACATGTATCTCTGGGAATCAGAATCAGAATTTCACCAAATTTGGACAGGATGTTTACAGATAGTTATTAGTTACAATTATGCAAAGTTTTTATCGATACCATTTTCAATTTTTGAATTTTTCACACTTAAACACACGTAGTTTAGGCGGAAATTGAAAATTGAAACAAAAATTCAAAAGGTATGTATATCAAAGTCTGTCATTTTTTAAGTAAGGACACCAAACATTAAAATATGTCATTTTTATCTTCTTTAGACTGTTATCTCAACATAAAAGCAAGTTATTTGACTTTTCACTTGACCCTATGCTGTCACCAGCCCCTAACAGGAAACTAATGCAGCCAGGATTTCAGGGTGACCTGGTACAATGGGGCCCTATGGATGTGTATGTGGGAGGAGGTGGCCACAAACAATTGATTAAGACTTAACAACAAGACACAATATAATTGTA